GACAATAAGTATATGTTATTTTTTTTAAAGACCTTGTATTTTGAAAAACATAAACTCCTAGAAATCGTTGATGAAGTCACATCACAGATTTTTAAGCTTGTTTATCGGCACAAGCGATTTGTTTTCACATCAAGGTCTGTTTTAACATGTTGTAGGGGCATTCAAATGTATAAGGCTATTGGAAACCAAAAAATAAAGGAATGGAGTAGGTGTAATTCGATAAAATTGGCAGATGAAAACGCCAAAATCAATGATTTTTTTCAGTGGCTGTGTGACCTTGTGTCTGACACATTCATATGCAAATGACTAATCTGTGAAATAAACAGGGGCGGAGACAAACCACTCAAATGTTTGGAAACACTCATTGTGTGTCAGATAGCTACTGATAACACATCCTAACATTGCTTTGTCTTGAGTTTATCTTTGAAACTTATAGGCACACAGATTAAACCTGTGTTGTTGATTTGGGAAAACACTACTGAAGCTGCCTTGCTTCCCTTCAGAAAATCTATATTTTAACCAACTTACATGACATTCTAGGTTACGTTGACTTTATCAGATGAAAGTTTATAGTGCATTTCATCAATTAATAAATAAATGTGAAAATCGTAATTTTCAACGCAAATAATAGTCTCGCTACCTTAAGACAACATGAGAATTGTGAAAAATGTGTCCTAAACCAAATCTCCAATTTCCAATGATTTTCAGAATGTCAGAATTTCACTTTGGCTATTCATTTGATTGTTTTTTAATTGTCAATATTTCGAAACTAGTGCTTTAATTAGCGTGAATTCACAAACATTGCATTTTTTCCAAATTATTGCATCCCACAGTAACAAAATAGAAATAGATGAATTCTCAAATATTTCCTGCAATTTCTGCCATGTGATTCAATATTTGCCATAGCAGTTCTTTGCATAAAGCTTTATGAATGCTAAATGCAACTTTTAAAACAACAACAAAGACTTCAATAACACAACTTACGTAAAATAATCAAATGCTGCCGAGTAGACTCTCTCACGGAGTACATTTTTCTTGGTTGATTGTGGCAACACGTCACCTTGCAACATTGACATACCCATTGTCAATAGTCGATACCTGGTGTCTACCGCTGCTATATGACGACTCATGTGACTTGGTTGACACCCAACGTTGAGAGATAAAGAATGATGTAGCAATATTGCAAACATCTCAACCTGAAATGAGATACAAGTCTCTGCATTGTATTTGGCAAGTCAAGTCAAGAGAATTTTATAATCAAAACAGAAAACAAGTTGGCAGGCACATGCAAATAATTTTGCCTCGTCTTTGTATCTTTATTTTTAAACAAAATTGGTGAAAGTGCTGTAATAGAAACATGTGCAAGAGAAAAAAAATGGTAGCTAGTTGGGCATTTTGAATCGAAACACGGAACCAGGCATGATGTTCATATCATATTAGAGTGATATCGACGAAGGCCTGCCTGAGAAATGTTTGATAACGTGTTACAATGTTTGATGTGTAGGTCAAAAATTGGCATCAGTTGAACAAATGTCAATGAATCAACCACCAGACAGAATTACATGAATTTTATCTTATAACAGGAACTCACCTGATCCATACTTGAATATTTGATAGCTTCAAATCTTTGATGTAAAAACTGCAAATTGGGAAGATTGTGATGATTATTACCAAACTGTGTTCATTTTAAGAACAATATGAATGTATAACATTCAAGCTTTCTCCATAAATGACTGTAATTAGAATATTCCAACAAACAAATCTATTTCTATGCAAATATGAGAACTCAAAATTACTGTCATACAAATTTAGTGGTCACAGATAACAACTTGTGTGTAATATTACTTCTTCATAATAAAATCATGATATGCATTTCAGTGAATTTCACCAGTGAGAATGAATTGAAACGTACCGTTGTCCATATCTGGTGTGGTGCCACATTTGGTGGATTGGGGGCTGGTACTTCATGATCAGCAAAGCTTAAAGGATTTCCATCAGGTTTGTCTGGTTCAAATATTCCAAGTTTCATGTCCACTGTCATCTTCCATGCAGCCACCATCTCCTGAGTAAACTGAAGTAAGTAAATAAAGGTATAAATAAACAGAAAAATACTAATCTTAAACTAACAAGAAATAAAGTATAAATAAACATATTTAACTGCAATGAAAGTCTGGATACGGGTGCAACCTGACACAAAATCATATTCTGTGACCGGACACAAGGTCAGATTCTGTGTGACCTGACACGAGGTCAGATTCTGAGTGACCTGACATGAGGTCAGATTCTGTGTGACCTGACATGAGGCAGATACTGTGTGGCCTGGCACAAGGTTGGATTCTGTGTGACCTGACACAAGGTTAGACTCTGTGTGACCTGGCACAAGGTCAGATTCTGTGTGACCTGACATGAGGTCAGATTCAGAGTGACCTGACATGAGGTCAGATTCTGTGTGACCTGACATGAGGTCAGATTCTGTGTGACCTGACATGAGGCAGATACTGTGTGGCCTGGCACAAGGTTGGATTCTGTGTGACCAAACACAAGGTTAGACTCTGTGTGACCTGGCACAAGGTCTAATTCTGTGTGGCCTGACACAAGGTCAGATTCTGTGTGACCTGACACAAGGTTAGACTCTGTGTGACCTGACATAAGGTCAGATTTTGTGTGACCTGATTTGAGATGGGTGTGGCTATGTTACTGTGAAAACATGGTATAACATTGTTTGACTGTCATATATTACTGATGCTATTGTTTCAGTCTAGTCTATTCATGTACCATGGGTGTGGCCATGAATTCTCTCTATTCTATACCTGCAATTCTAGATCATGTCTTGCTGCCAATAACCATTCCCAGCATGCAACAGCAGTGTCCAATGTTGAGGCTGTAAATACCCGTATTGGAGCCCAACACAAGTGATGTAGAAGCTGTCGATTGAGACCTGAAATAAAAAACAATCTAGTGAAAACCCAAATTTTTCATCAAGTAGTCAACATTTGTTTTATTGAAAACAAACAAGCCATGCATGCCACATTCCCAGTTAATTATAAAATTTAAGATATATAGTTTTGTTTATAGTAATATAGTTAGAACATAAACATGTCAGAGATATGAAACAGAAGCTGATGCTTGATTATGGTGATTTTTTAACACTGAAATGATTGACATTCAGTCATCTTGTATCTGATCGTCAAACGAGTAGTTGCCCATATTGAGAGATATTGCTCTAGAACAGTCGGCCATTTTGAATCAGATAGTCAAACCATGGAAGGTAAAAAGAGAGGATATAGGACGACTTTTAATCAGATTTATTTCTTTTGTATCAAGCTGACAATATCGCCTTATTGCTATTGTTTATATATTTTGTTTTACCCCATCACCAGTACCACTTATTTACTCAGCGAAATGGGATGAACTCTCATTTTTCGTGACTAAAAAAAAAATCAACGTCACGAGTGGCACTGCGCATCAGCAAAGAGACGGAAGAGTGTATGCGCAGAAAGGTTCACGTGACGTCATAGATCATTGACAAGGCCTGGCACCGGAAACAAAACACTCGTCAGTTGTTTCCAGCGTGAGCGGATGATACGCTGCTCGGTCTCTGCACGTAAACTTGTTCCATTTTTAAAGACGAAAAATCTACACGCCCGGTTGTCTCTCGAAGTATTTAAAAAGCTCAAATGAAACTTTATGTCAGGCACTTTCGAGTAAGCTTTGTCTTGTTTGTATGCGGTGATATGTGATGGTGAAAAAAACAATAGTTTCGCCATTTTGTTACCGCCTCGACACAACAAATATACTTATAAATACATTGTGTGTGTGATCATATGGAAGGTGGTGCGATGTTAGAACCCTGGTGTGATCACGAACAGTTATTGTTGTGTCAGTTTTCTGATATGAGCATATAAATACATATTTTTCATTTCATTTTAACGATTTTTACAGTTATTGTCCGCGATTGAAATACTCAAATAGGGAAAGATGTTGGGTTATGGTTATGTTGCTGTCTTGCTTGATAGTTTTACTGGTGCAGCAAGATTTGTTGTCATGTTCGAATTGAGCCGACCCGAATATTAATTATTCACATAATCGCATTACGGAATTGTTTACCAAGTAAATAAATCAAAACGATCATCGAACAAGGGAGAACAATAGCGTCCTATCTCCTCTCTTTTTACCTTCCATGGTCAAACCAATACATCTATATATATATATCTATGACATGATGTATAATGAATATATAAAATTTGAACATAATCAGTCAAGGCATGCCAGAACCGCATTCATTAAAACACAAGCCATGCATGGCACAGTCCCCGTTAGTTATCAAATTTAAGATATATAGTTTTGTTTATAGTAATAAAGCTGGAATATAACCATGTCAGAAATATGATTTTTTAACATTATAATGATTGACATTTGTATCTGATCGTCAAACAAGTACTTGTCCATATTGAGAGATATTGCTCTGGAACAGCATTCAAAATCAACCATTTTGTATACATGTATATACCGGTATATAACATGATGTATAACGAATATATAAAATTTGAACATAATCAGTCAAAACATTTAAGAGACATGGCTCTGGAAGCCCAATCATTAAAACAAAATGGCCACCAGTCAGCCATTTTGAATCCAATCTGAATAATAAAATGACGTGCATCAGGAACCCGTAATGTCTAATGTATGTACCAAGTTTGAACGAAATCCATCTATAAATGCCAGAAATGCTTGCTATCTGATGATTTTTTAGCACAGAAATGACCACCATTCAGCCATATTGAATAGGATCGTCGAACCAATATATCTGTTTATCTATGACATGATGTATAATGAATATTTAAAATTTGAACATAATTAGTCAAAACAAGCCGGAGATACAATGTATGGGTCTAGAAGCCCATTCATTAAAACAAAATGGCCGCCAGACAGCCATTTTGAATCTGATCTAAAAAATAAATGATGTGCATCAGGAATCTGTAATGTCTAATATATGTACCAAGTTTGAACAAAATCCATCCATAAATGCCAGAAATGCTTGATATTTGATGATTTTTTAGCACAAAAATGGCCACCATTTGGCCACTTTAAATAGGATCGTCAAACCAATATATCTGTCTATCTATGACATGATGTATAATGAATATTTAAAATTTGAACATAATCAGTGAAAGCAAGTCAGAGATATGGCACGAGAACCACATTCATTAAAACAAAATGGCCACCAGTCAGCCATTTTGAATATTATCTGAAAAACAAATAAATTATTTGCATCAAGGTCCCATAATGTCTAATGTATATACCAAGTCTGAACAAAATCCATCTGTAAACAGCCGAGAAATGCTTGATTTTTAGGATTTTTTAGCACAAAAATGGCCGCCATTTGGCCATCTTGAATCAGATCCTAAAACAAAATGATGTGCATCAAGGTCCTATAATATCCAACGTATATACAAGGTTTGAACAAAATCCATCTGTAAACAGCTGGGAAATGCTTGATTTTGATGATTTTTAGCACAAAAATGGCCGCCATTCGGCCATCTTGAATCAGATCGTGAAACAAATTGACGTGCATATGTATAATATCATGTATGATGTATGTGTGAAGTTTGATTGTGATTGGTCCAGGCATTTCTAAGTTACAGGTCCAGACGCACGCACATACGCACGCACGCACGCACGCACGAACAGACACACAGAGGTCAAAACATAAGTCCTCGTTTTCGGACTGCGTCCGAACGGGGACTAAAAATGGCCACCAGTCATTTTGAATCCAATCTGAAAAACAAAATGACATGCATCAGGGACCCATAATGTCCAATGCATATACCAAGTTTGAACAAAATCCATCTGTAAACAGCGGAGATCCGCTTTTGGAATGCCAGTGATGCTTGATTTTCAGCAGATCTTGAATCAGATCGAGAAAAAAATTATGTGCATATGTATAATATTATGTATGATGAATGTCTGAAGTTTGAATGTAATCAGTCCAGGCATGTCTAAGAAATAGGTCGGGACGACACATGAATGCATAAATGAATAATTTATGAGACTGTAGAGTCACATGATTATCCAAAGACACAATGCCATGGCAGATTCAACATTTCACATGTATTGTGTTATTCTTAGATAATAATTTACCTTTGCTAGAAATTAACAGTGCACACACTCTAAACAGTGAGTGTGCTAAGTCTTCTTCAGATCCAGCATTACATGCCTTCTGTAGCTGTTTGATTAAAATCACTGCCAAGTTCAAAGGCATGTCTGAGTTCTCATAAATGGCTTTCATCCCAGTTACCTGTGAAATGAACAACTTGCTGTCAACTCAAAATCTGGCTATTTGGAAAGTCTGAACAAAAACTCTGAGGTAACTATTTTATGATTTACAAACCCCAGTTGTATGCATCTTGACCAATATTCAATTTAAAAGTATTTTACAATTATTGTAAGATAAAAACTATGATTATTAGAAATTTGTATAGGAATAAATATTTATTTATACACTCCTAAATAGGGAGTTTCCAAAGTTCAGATTATTCCTGTACCAAAAATGTCTTAGAAGTTGATAAAACGTCTTTTATTTTCAATATACATTAAAAGTAAAGTTGCAATTCATAAATTGCCATAGCGCTGGGAATCTGGGTTTCTACAACTCTTCACCATTTCAATTCATTTAGATTTTGCTAAAATAAATTATGTCACTTTTGCCACCATTTATGGCTAAGACTATTTTCAAACCATGAATTATTCTGCCAAAAATGGCCATCATGGTTACCCACAAAAATGTAAATAAAACATCAGGAAAAATATAATAAATGTTATGGTACAGTATCACATTTTTTCTCAAATCTTAGTGATTTTTTCATTTCTCTTCATTTGCGAAGTTGCTAAATAAGTTTGAAATTTGTTGTGAAAAACAATGAAGTATTATAAAGTGACTCAAACTTTTTTTATCTTTAGCTAAAGCCTAGGGCAAAAGGTTCAAAGTTATCTGAGTGATTTAGTTTGCATAGGTACATGTACGTGACTAATGCTATTCGATGAATGGTGGGAAATATAATTTGCAGCAAGTCTTGATTGGATGTTTGTGGTGATTGTTTAGACTTTTAATATAATTCCTGAAAAAGACACGATTTGCTGAACATATACATAATTTAGAAAAAAAACGCTCATAATTCTCACGAAAATTGGTAAATATATTTTGCAATTGACACATATTCATAAGTTTAAATAAGTCCAACACACCAACAACACTTATCATCATAACTTTTACATCTCAAAAGAAAAAACAAAGTGGTGAAAGGAATTAAAGAATTCAAGAACTTACTTCGCCAGTGTATCTACTTCTTAGACTCACGACAGATACAAAACTAGATGAATTGTTCTTTACGCAGCCTGGCCTTTTATCTAGAGAAGAACCCTAACAAATGAAACAACAGTATTAGTGATTACAGCCCAACTTGTCTGTCACATGAACCATTAGCATAACAACCCTTACAAAATGATGCTTGAGGGCGCAGCAGGATACCAGTTGTGATAATTTCACATCATAAGCATAGATTTTACAAATTCATTTAAAAGGTTTATCATATAAAACATTAAAATTGCTACGACAGGGGCAGTCTACCAATTTAAACAACAGCGATTTAAAGTAAAACACAGGTTTACAAAACAAGCAGTCTGTCGGCTGAGTTAGCTCCGCTGTTAGCAATGCACATTTCAATTAAATAACTGAAGATATCATTAGAAAATGAACAATATGTATAGTATCAAAGCAATGGGACTTGCTGTTTTCAACAAGAATTTGAAAAAATACCTTTTTACCAAAAATGACAAAAATATTCATCAAAATTAGAGAATCAAAAATATCATCACGAAATGAACAAATCTGAGAGCGGTAATATATGATATCAAAGCAATCAGACTTGCATTTACAACAAGAAGTCAAAAATATAAATTTTTACCAAAAATGACAAAAATGTTCATCAAAATTAGAAAATTGAAGATATCAACATGAAATTAACAAATTTGAGAGAAGACCATTTGTAGTACCTATAAGTATAATATTAAAGCAATGTGACTTGTGGTTTTTAACAGGAAGTCCAAAATATTCACCAAAATTATAGAATTGAAGATATCATCATGAAATGAACAAATCCAAAAGAGGTCTACCCAAAGTACATACACACCAAGTATCTATTATTCAGGCTTGTAGTTTTCAAGAAGAAGTTGAAAAAATAAAAAAATTGACACGGACGATGATGGACGCCAACGGACAATCACTCATATGATAAGCCCCGCTCAACCAAGTCGACAGCGGAGCTAAAAAGTTCCACAAGGACATTAAAAATTTCTAGCGCTAAAAGACACTAGAATAACTACTAATACTCACACTAACTGATTTATTATATCCTGCAAATTGAAGAGCGCTTTCTGTAGCCAAAGCCAGACCACTATGTTGAAAAGAACCATCGCTGGAATTCTCTCGTTCAACTAAATATTGCTGTAAGTGTGATCTAGTAGGATTAGGGGCCCATTTTACTGCCTCTTGTAGAATACCACTACATCGAGCTGAAAAATCACGGACTATAGTCTGAAAATAAAACATAATTACTCACTGATTCTTGTAAATGTGTGGAATCTGATATATGAAATGATTTATTCACAAATTGTTGATAAGGTCGGATTTCCAGCACTGTATGATGGGGAAAATAGAATTCCAACTGTATATGGAGAAACAGAATCTGGAAATCCAGACAAGTATGGAAAAAAAAATCCTGGAAATCCAGGCAGTTATGGCTACTAAATAAAATATGGCCTAGTTTGTCTCGCCACATACCGGTTGATGAGGTTGGATTTCCAAGACTGTATGACTAAAAAAACTTGGAATTCTGACTGTATATGGTAAAAAGATTGGGCCAGTACAAAATAGTTATTACTGAAATTAGATAAGGATGGTGGCACGAATGAGCTCATCAATACCGTGAATCAGGACTAGTTTGGATTTACATTATAAAATATAAAATTTTGAACTTTAAAAAATAGTAAATTAGCATATGATAGTTATATTTGGAAATCCTACTCTGTATGGTGGCACAAAAAAACTCATCAACACCATAAGTAGGAACTATAGTTTTGGATTTCCATCACTGTATGGTGAATGGTGATTTGGAAATAAAACTTTGTATGACTTAAACACCCTTGGAAATTATACCCTGTAAGAAGTAAACACACAAGCTCATCAACAGGGGGGGGGGGGGGAATGGAATGGCCCATTACATAACATGGGTACCATCCACCAATCAGGATACTTCATTTAATACATGGAGTATGTGTGTGTGTAAAATGACATAACTCTTCACCTTCATGTATATTAATGAGTGCCCAAAAATAGTCACTATGTTTAGGTAGTCTTAACATTAAGGTGGTCACTGACATAGCTTTCACTGTATGTCCTTATGCAGCTTACATTATAGTAGAGATATTAACATTATCACTTCTCAAATAAAACCTCAGCTGTCACCTACTCGCACATAAATGCTAATAATTGACATGACTCAATTAATATTATATGACACACAGTCATACATGTTAAACTGACCTCTCTAGCCTCCATAGTATCCATAACAGTCACTGTGAACTGAGTATTAGGTACTTGTACAACTGTAGCTTCCTGTGTTGGTTCATCTTCCAAAGACTTTGACAAGAGCTGTAGTATGTCCAGCATTGTAGTTACAACTCTTCCATTCCACAGTAAATGAGGAAATCTATGATATATAAAACAGGAAAATATTACCATGTAATGAATAGATATTATTTTGAAGCCATAATATTATTTGCAAATGGATGTTAACCATTAACCTGTTCACTACCAGAATCAAGTTTGACGCTCAACCTGCTAACTGCCAGAGTCAACATTGATCCTTAAGCTCTTCACTGCCAGAGTCAACTTTGACCCTTAAGCTCTTCACTGCCAGAGTCAACTTTGACCCTTACTTTCACTGCCAGAGTCAACTTTGACCCTTAAGCTCTTCACTGCCAGAGTCAACTTTGACCCTTAAGCTCTTCACTGCCAGAGTCAACTTTGACCCTTAAGCTCTTCACTGCCAGAGTCAACTTTGACCCTTAAGCTCTTCACTGCCAGAGTCAACTTTGACCCTTAAGCTCTTCACTACCAGAGTCAACTTTGACCCTTAAGCTCTGCCAGAGTCAACTTTGACCCTTAACCTGTTCACTGCCAGAGTCAACTTTGACCCTTAAGCTATTCACTGCCAGAGTCAACTTTGACCCTTAAGCTATTCACTGCCAGAGTCAACTTTGACCCTTAAGCTATTCACTGCCAGAGTCAACTTTGACCCTTAAGCTCTGCACTGCCAGAGTCAACTTTGACCCTTAACCTGTTCACTGCCAGAGTCAACTTTGACCCTTAACCAGTTCACTGCCGGTCAACTTTGACCCTTAACCTGTTCACTGCCTGAGTCAACTTTGATCCTTAACCTGTTTACTGCCTGAGTCAACTTTGACCCTTAACATGTTTACTGCCTGAGTCAACTTTGACCCTTAACCTGTTCACTGCCAGAGTCAACTTTGACCCTTAACCTCTTCACTGCCAGAGTCAACTTTGACCCTCAACCTCTTCACTGCCAGAGTCAACTTTGACATTTAACCAGTTCACTGATCTAAATCTATATTATGTTTAGTACTGTGTTTGGTTCAAAACAAACATTTAAATTACAAACGTATTAAAAAATGAATCTGAACTTACTTGTCAACTAATCCAGATAAATATCTGTCAGCAACTTTTCTTATTCTTCTCAAAACATGATTAAATTTGACAAGCAGGAATTGTGCATGGGTTTCCAGTTCTCGGTCTCTCACTTCAGTTCTTGGCTGAAATAAAATATTACAGTTATTCTGCATGTATATAAATACATGAACAATTTGCTTTACAAGTTAACATGGTGATATTACTGTATTAGTTAATACACTGGACAATGTTTCTAACTTACCCTTTTTTCCATCAAGTTCAGGAACATTTTAAAAACTTGATCTGAGATCGCAGACAAACACTGCCACATACCAGCTTTGTCCTTCTGGATAGCCTTGTCCTCAAGATACCGAAACATTATGTGAAAGTCATCAGCAAGATTCTGTACACGTAACGTTTCCATACGAAACACAGACAGAAGGTATGTACACTGCGCAAAGCTAAGTTTGTTGACCAGTGGAATAACTTCAGGTGGATGCTCCAAGAGACTGAGAATAGTTTGACGTAGTTCATTCAACTCTGCCTGTTAACAAGTGACAGTGATAGATTTTAACAACAAAATTAAGATTTGTTTTAGATATAACAAAGTCTGTCAACACATTACAGAGCCATGCTATATATGAGATATTAACCAGATTTTTTAAGGTAGAAAATGTAATTATGAAATTAAGTCTGAGTGTTATTCAGCACAACTTCATTATGTATTTATTAAAGATGTTATAATGTATTTGGTTTACTTATACTGTAAAGTCTGACTTTCGACGCTACAGAATCATTTCCAAATGCAGGGTTAGGTTTAACTCGTCTATGCTATAGTTTTATTTCATAATGTTTTACTCACCGGTGCTACGGTATCATTTCGTAATGCCGAGTTATACTGTAACTCTGATCTGAGATGTTCTCCACCAGCTAACGTAAGTAACGGAGACTTGGTTGCTATGACACGTACTCCATCATACCATTCTCTCGGCCACAAACCTGTCAAAAATTCACAAACGTGTACAAATTATTTCTCAATTAAAACCAAAATTCTAACAAGAGAAATTCATGCAGTACTACAAAAGGTTCAAGAATGCCACTACCAAACTTTCTCCACTAGAAGACCATTCTTAAAACCAAACTACAATACAGTATATATTACCGTACTAAGACTACTGTATATACATGTATAAGGGTATCTATTGTGATTGAGTGTTGCTACATATGGTGCACGTGAAATATGGTATGTTATCATCTGAATATGATGACTTTCAGTCTACACTGATTATATCTATGTAAGGCTCATACTTAATTACTTAAATTACTTAACACTATCAGTTTTCTTGGCAAAGTATTTTGTGATAGGTATCAAAAGTTGTCTTTTGAGGTGAAAAGGTCAAATCCATCATTGCTTCAAAGACAATGATAACCAGAATAAGAAATATTATATAATTATGTATTTTATAATCATAGTAAACCCTTACTTGTATATAATTTTACAATATTTTTTCTCAGGTTGACGAGTGAATACCACCAGAGTTTTTGCATGATTCCGAGCCACAAGTGAAACGTAATCATAATTCTCTGCTGATGCCAACTGTGTTGTCAATCGCGGGGTTATATATTTATCATATGCAAATCTGCATAATCGAAAAAGTGAAACAACAAAGTGTTGAAAGTATTGCTGAATTAACATAGGAAATCATTTCTCATATTGTAATTTCGCCAACGCCATGGTGTTCTATTTCACGCAAAGGCCTTGTGTGGCAATATTTGCTCCAATTCATTAGAATTATTTTTTAATTTCAATCTATTTTTTGGAGGATTGAATAATATTTTTGGAAATGAGAACACATTAGATTGCCAAAATATATCATTTTTACCATTCGCAGTTATCGGGCTGTATATAAACAAAGTTTGGCAGTATTTGAAATCAAACTATGAGATTTTCAATCTGTCTTGTATTACATCACTATGGAGATATGTGTGTTATACATAAGCAGCTATTCCTACCATAAGCCACTCTCATTCACCAACACAAAATACATGTTAGAAATGTTTGAGTGATGCATTTTGGGTAAATGACAACCACAAATAATAATGGGTAAAAAAAACTAGTCAGTGTACATACAGTGAAAAAATTAGTTAAATTTGATGTACTGGGTTGGTTTCCATGCAGTTTAGACAATCAGTTAATCAGGCTTTCTCAGTGTCAACAAGAAATATCTGTCACCTTGGATTTTAAATGCATTCTGGATTTTTCTAGAGCAGTAAGAAGCAAGGAAGCTACAAGGACGCAGTGAAATAAAAGCATATATAGCATGACTGCGTGGTTCACTTTTTCAAACATGGTCTGTATGTAAGCAATGCCCTCCCTTAGAGATTATATCACAGGATGCACTGCAAATCCAAGATGGCGGAAAGATTAGTACCAGGAGAAGTGATATTCCTTATAAGGACATTTACTAAAGAAACAAACCCTGAATGTTAAAGCTATAAAGTCATCAATTAATAATTCATGCTTAAAATAGTATGAAGGTAAAACAAAACAAGACACGACATGCACTGTTAGTAACTGTAGGAAACCACTTAAATAGAATACCTTGCTGTTTTCGCAACACTTCATGCGGGCACGACAAATATCATCAAAAAAAGGGATAAAATATGAATATATTAGATGAATATTATTACATTTTTGAATTGGTAGGATAAAGATGAAGTCTTTCTTCAATGTTCAATTCAAAGTGGGAGACATAACAACAACTGTTTATTTTATGTAAATAATTTTAAAAAGAAGATTGCAAATAAAATAAACAATCAGAGAAATTACTGAAGTTAGGAGGTCTTGTACATGCAGTGTCTGCATTATAAACTGAAACTTAAGTAGCATAGATACACACATGTCAAGTAAATAGCTTAAAACATTGGGATAAACATTTGCAGGCATGAACTAAACTATGTTTTGTTTTTCAATCAATCAGTAGGCACATTTACTAGTAGGATAGGCAGTAGGAGAAGAGCTGAAGACTGTAGCCAAAAACATGGCTTAAAAATATTTGAATGGAATGAGCATGTAGACTACAACAGAACTCAGTAGTAAAGTTAGAATAGAATGAAATGAAATGGAATGGAATGGAATGGAATGGAATGGAATGGAATGGAATGGAATGGAATGGAATGGAATGGAATGGAATGGAATGGAATGGAATGGAATGGAATGGAATGGAATGGAATGGAATGGAATGGAATAGAATAGAATAGAATAGAATAGAATAGAATAGAATAGAATAGAATAGAATAGAATAGAATAGAATAGAATATTGAATAAATAAAATATTACCAGCAGAAATTTTGCCTACAGATAACGAATAAATGGAACAATGAATAAACTGTCATTTTGATAATATGAATATATAAATATTTCCTAACAGTGTTGTTGGAAGTAAGGAGACAGAAAGTAGATAGCGTCAACAGTCTCATTCGATGGGATTTTATATCACTATAAGGAAAATTAATATCACTATGCGTATCCATAGTAAACAATGGATTCCATAGTTTTAAAATAATAATAGAGTTGCATTTTGTGAGCATTTTTAAAGCTATATCGGGGTCTTGGTACTATTTTGTTAAACATTTGATTGTCTGAATCTGTGTAGATTGTGAGAAAACAAAGCAAATCTTTGTGAATAGACGTATTCTGGACTGATATTTAAAAGTGTTAAAATGAAATTCACACACAGTTAAATGGGAAACCAAAACGATCACAAGCATTTAAATACACTGAAAAACATTTGCCATAATTCATACAAATACAGGCTTTCATATATGTGACATAATAATCCTAAAACTTCAAGACTCCCAAGTGTGCAACTTTATGAATGCTAGGACAATGAAAAAATCATAATTTTATGGTAAAGAATGGCAGCTCAAATCAATGATGTTTGTAATACATATTTATTTTTTATGCAAGAGAGTAAAGTTAATTACAAATTCTTTCACTGGTAACTAGAGTTCTGAGGGACACAAGTGATTTTCTTCCTGCAATTGCTTGCAAATACATGTTTAATGGTCCACTCCTTCCCATCCCATTAATAAATGTCCCTAACTGTTGTTGAACTTACCTGATTCCTCAACTGCAAACCCCATGACAACACAGTACAACCAGAAATCACGAAATAATTTATGTAAACGAGGTTTGGGATTACTGATTGGTGGAAGTCTTTTCACAAGCTGAGGAATGAGACAATACAACATTATCATTTTTTTGTAAATGCATTATCACTTCAACAAAACATCTAATTTAACTAAGAAAATGTGAAATGTAGATATTCACATATAACAATATGTTAAATATTATAACTTGGCCTAAAAAAATAAGTACACCTAAATTACCAGCATTCCTTACCAGTACCAAAACTGGGATAAGTATACATGTATCTAAATTACCAGCATTACTTAATAATGCCAAAACTGGGATAAGTACATCTAAATGACCAGCATTCCTTACCAATGCCAAATCTGGGATAAGTACACCAAAATTACCAGCACATTACTTACCAATGCCAAAACTGGGATAGGTACATCTAAATTACCAGCATTACTTACTAATGTCAAAACTGGGATAAGTACACCTAAATTACCAGCATTCCATACCAATGCCAAAACTGGAATAAGTACACCTAAATTACCAGCATTCCTTACCAGTGCCAAAATTAAGTACACCTAAATTACCAGCATTACTTACCAATGCAAAAACTGGGATAAGTACACCTAAATTACCAGCATTACTTACCAATGCCAAAACTGGGATAAGTACACCTAAATTACCAGCATTACTTACCAATGCCAAAACTGGGATGAGTACACCTAAATTACCAGCACTACTTGATGCCTTCATAGTTGTTGACTTCTCACTGGCTCTTTTACCCTCTAAGCCCAACTGTACAAACAACTCCAGCAGTCTCACAAGCAGTTCATGTTGTTCAATTTCGCCCTCTAGATTTGCAGCGATGTTTGCTAGGGCATTGATAACAGCTAATGAACAGTGCCTGACATAGAAAAAATGCATGATTTGACATATGAAATACATTTGTACCATTTCATATTTAACTTGCATATTTAGAGGTCACACATGTATATGTAGATCATGAACAGATTACATTCTCTCTGCAAAGTTTACTGCACGTTTATAACCAAGTTTTTATTAAAAGTTTCACAATTATACAATTATACACCACCAAACTTAGATTTACATTTAGTAAGTACTGTATGTGCACAGCTACAATTCTCAATATTCCATTGTATCAGCTATGCATAGATTTCTTGATCCAGAAGTCTTATAAAAGATTGTGTTGAGTGCCAACACTATCTAACAATCGGGTTGGGATATGTGGTTAATGGGACATTGCTCTCCAGTCATTGGAGAAATTGAATTAAGAAGAATTAACACAATATTTCCATATTTCTTTCTGCCTTAAGTCTTACAGTGAAGGAACCAATCATCCCGCAGTAATGTCAAAACTGTAATGAGGATGCCTGGGTTGTTTAACATGTGGCACTTAAGACAGGATATGGGATAATAGTTTGTATATCTCCATCCTATTTTGGAGGCCAGTTTCCCAAACACACAATGTTGACATGGACAGAATATCCTAGGTTATAATAAGTGAACTGTTGGCTGACGGGGATCACATCAACAATCTCACAGATGCAAGAAGACCTCAATCACTGTACCAGATCAAGGCTAAATATTATAGCATATATATATTATGTGATTCATACGGTGAGATTATACCTGTATCCATGTGTTCTGTCATCAGTGCCACCACGGGAATAAGTTGCAGATCCAGCCTGGACGCTAATCTGGATGAACATGTTCATAACATCCTGATAAATGGACGACTAGAAAAGATCAGACAAAGTCCAATGATATACAATAACCATTCTCAATTTTGACACAGGATTTTGAATAAATGTAAGAGAATCTAATAGGACTGTTTTGCGAGATTCCACGTACGTGTGAAATGGAACGTAAAAAAATGGTCAGAACGACATATTGGTGTCAACACCTCACATGATTTTCAACAAATGCGAGAGTATTACAAAGACTTACGGAGCCGCTGATTATCATACAGCCTAGCATATCAACAATTAGTACGTCTAATGGTGATGGCGGATGACAAAAACGATGTTGAAATATTTGAAAGATGCTCTCCATTGTTTTTGGTGTGTTTCTCAACGTCACAGCAACATGGCCCAGAGTCAAGATTGTATTGATAGATATTAAAGAAGACTCCCTTCAAGACAACAACAAATATTGGTATTAAACGAGTGATACAGTTAATCCTGAGTTTTTGGGACGAACTTGCCAAAATACTGCCAACACGATGAAATTTGTGTATATCAGGAAAACAAAAATTGTTTAGACTCCGAAATGGTTACGAAATACTGAATTAACCAACACTACCAGAACTCACTATACAGTACACAGATAAAGCTGAAATCTCACCTTTCACTTGTTTCTGCTGTATACAATCGATTTGACACTGATGCTAAAAATGCCTGCACGCAATCTGAACTCTCATGTAACCCAGCTTTTAATGATCTGTTAAATGCAACAAAAAATATTTAAACAACCAATCAGAAATATACATACTAGGTCATGTGACCCAAAACAACCAATGAGCTGTATATATGTATAAGAAAGATTAGTATACGAACCTACAGAGGTTGTGTATTGCAGAGTCTCGTAGTTTTTCAAATGGTGACTGATCAGCGCATGAGCGACTTGAAAACATGGCTGACTGCCCAGCAACAGTGACCTTGAGACCAGAGGCACTCAAATTGTGTTGTTTGTGGAGTTTTAACAAAACAGGTGATGGGTTCACCAGGAAATCTTCCAGTGCATGAATGCTCATGTGGGACATAATTGGAAACTTCTCAGCTACTGTACCAAGACCCTGAAACAAAGTAAATTAAGTCAGCAAATTTGTGATAATTGTAGATATAACACCCAAAAAGGGATTACAGGAATTGAACTGCATCAATCTGATTAAAATCTGATGTAGTGTATGGCCGTGACCAGCTTTAATTATTTTGGCTATAAACTTATTTTAATTTTATTTTTTATTATATTTGTTATTAATGCCCTTTTATTTTATTATTTTACTTTGATTTTGTGATTTTTTTTTAATTCCGCCCTACCCTACCGCCCTGACCTGATGCCTATGTAACGAGATTTCAACGAGACCCACTATCGACGATTTTAGTCAACTAATCACAGACCTCCTTCTATAGCGCACATGATGACGTCACCGGGCAGAGTCAGGTAGCAAACAGACTCAAATAAAATGGCGGATTTACCCACGTTAGCAACCGAGAATAACACGGCTTTTCGGTAAGTTTATCATTGTCAAATGCAACGAAAGTCATTTTTATGTTAATATTGTGGCTCGAATGGTTCGACTTTAGATCGTTATTTTGCATAGTTATTCTGGGAGTGACGATTTTGTTTCCATCGGTTCGACCGAACACCAGTGTCTTTTTCCAGTCGCCTGCCCTGGAGACAGGTGATGTTTTGTTGACGATCGGGCCAAAATCGTCTATGGTATTGAAGCCGTAGCTGTAAATATTCATCAAATTGTATCAAAATTTTGTACATTATACAATAACTCGTTATTATAGTAATTGAGCTGATTTGGACTGGAATAAAATATTTTTTTATTTGGAACACATCGCAATTGATCAGGAAATATTTTTTTGCTCCAATTTTCTGCGTCGATGCCGTGGGCCGGTGACCGTTATACAATTTAAAATCAGTTTGCATTGTTTTCTATAGTTGTTTACAGTGTTCTAATCATTACGATTTACTTATTTTTTTTGCTTCCATTCTAGATAATTATGCTCAGTGATGTAAAATTGAAGCGATGACTGAATGAACGAACCTTGGCTGGCGAAGATGTATCTGGAAGTGTACACATTTGTTGGAAGTGAAAAAAATATTCAATGTAATCACAAAAATTGTAAAATGCTGTGGAATTTCTTTTGCAAATAAAAATATACTAGCAATTTTCTATTAATGGTTTATTCAAGTGGGCAAAATATAATGTACAGAAAGACTGCCCGTATACACTGAAAAGTACTAAGCACCCGACAGCTTGTATAAAAGGGGGGCTGTGATTGGCTGTTACTTACGCGAGATTTGAACGGGACTTACATAGGCGCCGGATCAGATGTAGGTATGGCGGAATTAAAAAAAAAATCACAAAATCAAAATCAAAGTAAAATAATAACATAGTTGAACTCTGGTGACCTTGCCCTATGTTATACATGTATAATATAATTCCCTTTATCATAGTTTGTTTCAATATAAATATGCATTGTCATAATTAATTTTGAATACAAACAACTTTTGAGGTTGAACCAACAGTGGGGAATCAGTCTACCAAATGTCCTTTAAAGATGTAAATATCTTACAAAAACATTGATGACTTATTTGTTTAATTATTTTAAGGGACATATTTTCCAGCTTTATTCAAAGTAATTCAGATATTTTAGTATAAAAACAAATGCCTCATCACAAAAAAAAAAGTGCTGCATTTAGACGTCAATAGATTCATAAAACATGCAAGATAACAGAAAATCTTAGCTGGGTACAGGTATCTGTCAAAAATTAATGATTCACTGAGACAAATATGAACTGCCTTATTGTGTGACTACTGTATTATATGAAAAGAAAAAAAAACACCCTTTATGAACAGCTATCATGTTGCAAGCTCTGCTTTGTATGCAAATCAACTTAAATAGTTAGTTGGTGTCCAGTGGAGGGAGAAGTCAACAGTACTGTTGCCTCCTGAGAATCTACATCTTCAAACACTGCAATCTTTGAAGTGCGTTTTTAAACCAGTATTATAAAAACTCTATCATTCTGTTCTAATAGCTGAAACATATTTCTGTGAGTTTTCATTTGTCGAATGAACTGTTTGTCAAATACAGAATACATATATTTTAGAACAATTTTTTTTTTTAAATGTGGATGAAATGTTTTGCTTTTTATGTATTTTTTATGTATTGTTTTTGATTTGATAACTTTGAACTAAACAGATTTGGCACCCAGTTCATAGGAGTGCTTATATTGATTTTCTGACATCTTGTTTTCTGTAAAGATTTTATTGGTAGGTTTGCAAATGTGTATCAGACTGTGCAATCTCTCCATGAGTTGGTTTTGAAACCCAGTATGGGATTCTGAGATACATTACCAAGGATATTATTACAAGATAAATCATTTGCTTCATTGAACACATACAACAATGCATATTTCCACTGAGATCAGTGACCTTTGATGTGTATCACCAGTGATCACTCAAGTAGAAACAGTCAAAATATTTTATCAGATTTTCTCAATTTTTGCATGATATTTTCATACAGGACATCTGTTGTTCAACTCAGGGAAGACTTTATACTGATGAATAAAGTGACCAAGTTTGGTGAAGTTTGGAATAGAATTAGTGAAGTTATTATGCACACAATAACAATTATTAATGACGACGACGGCGACAACAACACCGGACAAAATTTTTCCCTTAATATACCTTTCCCTTCCATCTTTGATGGTACGGGCAAGGTAAAAATAAAAGGGCATTAATAACAAAAGTAATACAAAATAAAATTAAAATAAGTTTATAGCTAAAATAATTAAAGCCCATACACTACATCAGATTTTAATCAGATTGGAACTGCATCAAAGCCCAGGAAGTTTTTCTTGGTGCCCATCAAAATACTAGTATACAGATTTTCTCTACACTACATTTTTATTTCTATATGCCAATGTATTGTTATCAAATTTAGCTCTGAAGTTCATGTCCTGGGATTATAAACAAAAAAATATTTCATTACATCGAATAAGGTTACAAAGTTTAATGTACTAATTTCCATGGAAACAGTTTATTTTACCTCTAAACAACACATCATTAGAGGCATGTGTGCTAAAACTTGTTTTGTTCCCATACTGGAATTCAACTTTTCAGTCAATCTACCTATTAACCCATCAGCACCTGGAAAAAAATAGATGTACATTGCATTATATGTCATTGATTATGATAACCCATGATGCATACATGTACATGTAGGTCTGGCTGAATTATAAAGTTTAGCAACCATAAATGTTGACACAAGAACTCACTAAATATACATATGGGTTTAATTTGTTCAAAAATACAAAGAGTATTTGAACAGACTGAAAATATTAAAAGGTAAAAAATTGTGATCAAAGAAGTCTGAAAAATACACTCTAAAGAAGAGTTTTTTTAATGTGTACCAGAGCTATGTTATAATGTATTCTGAAGCAAGAAAAAGTTTAAAACAATTTGTACCAAATACAGTCAACATCAGAAACCTGGTGACATTATAAACATTTCATAAATAAAATTAATCAATCCAGAAATTGTATGGCAACATCATCACAAGTCCTTAATATTTATTAGTTAATATATTAATATTAATTATTTAGTTCAACATCATTCAATCAGTAAGTGCTTTTATTTTGGAAAAGGTGAGTGATCGCAATTTTTATGTCACTTAAGGTAGAGATGCAGTTTACCTGACAGGTATTTTAATTAGTTAATTAGGAAACCAAGATGACCTCCCTTGTCCACAAAACTATACATTTTCAGAAGGCTTATTGTATGAATTTAAAAATATTGTTAGTATTTTTTTTCTATGGACACTGTAGTTTGAAATATGCACAAAAATGTGCTTTTTTGGTCAAAAGTGATTAAAAAAAAATTAGCTTCTAAACCGTGCTTCTGTTTCCTGTCAAAATTGGTTTATGGGTACATCTGTTTACTATGAAGAAAGTGCCGTCTTGAAAACTGTCTACCAGTTGTCAATTTTGCAGGGCAGCAGCTCAAATTTCACTATTTCAAGTTGATGCATAAATTAACACCCAGGCTAGTTGTCTGTACAATTGTTGTAACACTGTTCAACCAAAAGCAATGCCCCAACGGCATTTTGAAGATAAACACATTGTCAATCATTTGTAAAAATTTCAAAACAAAAGGTCAAAGCGTCTAGGAGCTATTTTTTTTTTAAAGTTCTGGGATGTGCCCTAAAAAGAAGCTGCTGAGACAATTGCTAATTTGCATGACAATTCACTCAGTAAGAAGTTTGCTAATGCTCATAATTAAAATGGCTGTAACAGTTCTAAATTTAAATGTATTATCGTTTTGTTAAAAGTTAAATATAGTGCATAATATGGAGATCCCGTCATTTCTTTTTTTCACCATGTTTCTTTTTTATTATTTATGTACAGCCTAGCTAAATCTTTCTAAGCATTCAAAAAAGAGAATGTTTTCACCTGTTATCTATATTTTAAAATTGTTTTTTGAGTACGTTCCATTATTCACAATTCTACAAAATTTAACAGTCTATAGCCAAGACTGTTTGGATAATAAAAAGCAAAAAAAAAAAAATTCACTCCCGAGTGCCCACGAACCTGCATCTCTACCTTGAAGGGGAACCGCTCAATCCCATGGATTGCACCACATGCTCATGGGTAATTAACTCCGCCTCTGTCCACTAAGTAAATGAATGCTTATTATGCTCGCTCACTCAAACTGTGATTGACAGGCATTTTGCACACATTAGCCACCATTTTAAACTCGTGATTTTTACTTGTCGCGGCATGTTTCGACTGAAAACAACATCTTTTATATATCAAAAGCCCAACCAGACGAGTGTAATCAGTAGCGTACATATTCATGCCCCGTAGAAATGTATTTGGAATCATAGCTTGATCTGTAAACATGGTAAATGGCACATTTCCCGGAGCTCCCATCACAATGTGAGCGGCTTGGTTCGGATTAACATACTAATTGCGGTGGCCATCTTATCCCTATTTACAGTATCGGTTCCCCTTTAAAGGCAAGTGCGAACATTTATGGGTGTGGACAATGTTGAATATTTGATTTTGGATGAAATTTACAAGTTTTTACAAGCCGTGCACTATAACACATCTGATAGTTACAACTCTAACATCAAGCATTATATAAAGTACCAATGTACTGTTTCGTTTTAATGGTTAAAGTACTGTTCAGTTACTGCACTGACCTGTCTCTTCCTTCACTGCCCAAACTAATAAATCCACACAGGCAGCATTAGCATTAACTGCCAGCGAAAATGTATTTAGTGTCTTTCTGCTCTGACTCATAGTATCCTGACTTCTGTTCTGTAGTTCTGTCTGCCCAGATAAAAACAGATCTCTAATGAAGGACTGCACATCTACTGTGAAGCTAGTGGGTAAATCTGATGATAAACGAAAGACTCATTAGTATATGCAGCCAAGGGGAGTAGTCAGAAGAGGACTAGAAGCATAGGAAGATAGTCAAAAGAGACTAGAAGCATGAGGAGGTAGTCAAAAAGAGACTAGAAACATGGGAGGTAGTCAAAAAGAGACTAAAACCATGGGGAGGCAGTAAGAAGAAGAATGATTAAAGCCGCAAGCAGCGTGAGGGGGCCAAGCGGACAAGATTCTGTTTCATAATTAATGAGGTCAGACACATAATAGATAATCAGGTAGTTTGAATGATCAGTAACATGAGGACGAAATGCAGTGAATTGGTTCCATGTATTTACCTGGTTTGGTTATCGAAATATGGTTTTAAGAATATATAATGAGCCATGTGCTTATGCATATTAATGAGGTTACATGATCATATATCATGGTAATCTCTTATGTCAGGTACATCTTTCGTTTAATGCCTTCATTATGGCACTTGTTGCATGTCCCATTCTGCAACAGCGTTAAAGTTAAGCATATTAACGATCATGCATGACCATATATTTAGCCAAATCAGTCCAATACAACACATGTAATTGCAAAAGTACCATTTATGCAAAATCCAAGATGGCAGCCAAACCACGTGACTGATTAAAATTATATTTTTTCTTGCAACAAACTATGACCAAACATCTTATAAACAGCATATCCAATTTTACCTATAATCCATGATGGTGGCCAAGCCATGTGACTGATCTGAAATATTTTTTAACATTCTGAAAGAGTTCCATATAGAAATGCAAAGCAGCAAATGAGAAGATAATCGCATAAATGTGGCACGACTAAAAAAACAACTTCCTGTTTAGAAGAAAACCAAAATGGCGGCCAAACCATGTGACTAATCGTAACAAATTTTGCAAACTGAAATGTGCTTCATATATAGATGATGAAATACCATATGTGGGAGAATTTTGCTTAGTGGTTCTAAAGAAGAAGATTTAAATGTGTTTTTTGTCGTTTTTAGGAGAAAAAAGATGGCGTGACCGGTAAAGTTGTTATTGCTTACATGTATATCTGTTACATATGAGTTGTACTATATGCCATAAAAAAATCTGACTGCCCTCAGAAAGTGGTCAAATAACCACTTCCGGTTTAATTTCAATTCAATATGGCTGCCGAACCAATTGACCAATCAGAATTCTGAAAGTTAGGTGCACCAGAAACACTTACCTTCTTGATGATGAAGAAGATAGCGCAAGAGTGTTACCATGGCAACATTGATTGTTTCACTAAAACTATGATAAATGAAAGTTCTGTCAGCATTCCTTTCTCCGAGTTGATCCAACAGTGCATTGTCTAAAAACTTCAACACTTCTTTGTTCATTACTTTCTGAGCCTGGAGAGGTATACAAAAGTTTAAATTAATAATTGATTTTGCATATTTTAGTAAATAATTTGAAATGCATCACATATATAATCAAAACACAACCTGAGAAAAATATGAAATTTTAGCAAATTTGCCTTAATGCTGTACTTAGTTAACAGGATCTTAATTTTGCTAAGGATCAACAATGACACTGATATCTAATTGGTTTACTGAAAAGATAAATCTTG